GCATTCATTGTTTTTCTCGTCTTTCTCTTGTGTCAACACCGGAAGAGTTGAACTGAGTTTGTGGATGTTCTAGGACAGGAGGGGAGGAGGTTGTCTTAGCCAATCAGAACACGAGGACAGATTGAGACCAGTAGGATTATTGCACACACATCATCTGGAACGATCTGAAAGCGTTCTTCTGGCTGAGGATGCATTTTTACAGTTCTCCTCCTGGAATGGGCTAGGGACTGTCAGAGCACAGAATGAGAACTCAATGAGGATCATATCATGCAATAAAATACATTCTGTTCTGTTCTCATCATGTACTCATTACGTTACGAGAACACAGTGCGATAAGCTTATAAAGGTGAGTCAAGGGCAGGTGACAGGCTCATGGCCTGCAATCCCCTGCCCTTCTCTCCTCCCCTTCCCTCCTTTAATGAGGCTACAGCAGCCCTTAACTTGGCTGGGAAGCCAATGCACCCACTGTGTGTATAATAAGGTTTTGGTGCTAATAGGCACGCTAATGCCAGAATGGATCTAAAGATGCATACGGTCAGACGGCAATCTCAATTGCATTCCATTTTTACAAGAAGTGCAATTGTAGGGGTTGACAGGTTACATGGAATAAGGCCCCTAAATTCTCGGGGCTGCCTCTGACATGATGGTGCCTCAGACTCCTCTCTGAGTCTGATCTCCTGGATCAACCTGGATGCAGTCTTGTCTCTACTGTTACCACTCTGAACCCTTACATGTCTTATTTGTTGCAAAGCAGGTTTGTTCTAACCATCACCAAAACTAATGCACCATATGAAGGTGACAACAAGCCAGTCTGCATCCTTCTATTCAAAGGGCATCATGTAGATTTCTATTACTATAGCTTAGATGGTTTAGGATTAATTACATTAAAGCTCAGATCCTGCATCATCAATGTAGCTACAACAATGGGCCTCTGTTATCGTAATTACATTTGGTGATGCCACTCCACATACACACAAAATTCTACTTTTGCAGCCTGGCAGTACCCCAACTAAAGCATTTCCTAGGTGATATAGACTGGAGTGCTGGGAAATGATGTTTTCAATGCTCTCCAAATCATTGGGTGCTTTGAGAACAGGCAGTTGGAGAAACTCTTCAAACTTTCTGCTCCAAAGGTGGTGATGATGATGATGATGATGATTGATGAAGATATTTATTTCTCTCTCCATAGATCAAGGTGGGGAACAATTAACAGACAAACAAAAAGTAGGTTTGGGGAGGTCATGTTCAGTTACTCACAACCATAAAAGTGCATCCCAGAAATGATGAGACTGTAAATCCACCTGCTGCACAGGATACCAGCCATGAGACAATAGTAATGAAGATTGTTAAGACTGATATATAAATTATGTGTTTTTAAACTGTAAATGAGGTAAAAGTTTAACTAATGAGTCAGTCTAACTGAAATTACATTTAATGATTTGATTATTCAACCAAATGGGCAATAAAACAATAACCTTTGCATTGCTTCACAATATAAGTTAAAAGTACAATATAAAAAGAATATGTGTAGTTTGTGAATTTGTGAATTTATGACAGACCAAAATTCCACACTGACAGACTGGAAGATGATCAAGGGAAGTAATTCTTAAAAATGTATCACACTGACAAAGCAAATCAGAAATCTTTAATGGAGGTGGAAGTGAGGATATGTTTCATTAGCTAAAACACAGATTCTCACAAGCAGATTACTACATGATTTTTTTAAAAAAAATAACAACAAAGACAAACAGGATTAAGCTAAAGATATTCAACAAGATAAGTAGTTGGCAAATTAAAAAAGAAAGATTCAGAGACACCAGACTCAGATGACAATCAAGAACTGACCAAACCCGCACCACCACTTTTTCAAATATCTGCTACTAATAGTTAAATGCACCAAACTAATGAAGAGATGGAGGCGATAATTCTTCATATACTTTCAAAGCCATCACACAATTGCTTCTCATAAACACTGTGACAGGACACTGTGCTACAACCCACATACTAAGGTTGTTTGTGAGCAAAGCCCAGACCCTGCTCCCCTTCACATCACACCACCTGAGCATTTTCTTTCTATGGTCATCAGAAACACACTCTGCCTTTCCCTTCCTTATTTTGTACATTCAGATCTATGAGTTGGTGTGGATCACTTTGGACAGTGCTATTCTGCTCCAGAACTGAGTTGTACCAATGTCATCCAACTCAGAGCTGGTGATTTGGTTTCACAGCCCTAACAGATATGTGTCTTTCAGATGTTGTCAGATTTCAACTCCAGTCCTTACACTATAACCAAAAGAGTTGCAGTCTGGAGAGCAACACATTCCCGAAGGCTCTTTCCTGTAACTCCACCAGACATACCTGTAAGTGATGGTATAGAGGGAAGGGCCTCCCCTGAAAATTTTCAGCCATGTGTAGGATCATATATGTTGTTTCTTTTTCTAGTTTAATGTCTAATTCACTGCATAAGGTCATAGCATTTAGCATTTACATTTCTATACAGCTTAATAGTGAATTCAGCACTAAGCAGTTTACAATCTATAAGCAAATTGCCCCCAACAAGCTGGGGACTCATTTTACCGACCTACGAAAGGATGGAAGGCTGACTCAACTTTGGAGCCCTGGGATCAAACTCACAACCTTGTGACTGCAGTACCAGCATTTAACCAATGCGCCACCAGGGTTCCTGGCCATGTTACTTGTCTGTGCAATTAAAACATATAAAAAGGCACTAATTTGGGATTAGCAAATTCTCTTACCTGACTAGCAAAAGCTGAAGTCAACTTAAAAGTTAAACCTTAGATCCCAAGAAAATGATCTTATGAATCCAAGGCCAAATTCAGCATAATGCAAAAATATTGCCAACAAAAACACTGAGGTGCAAACCAAAATATATAAAAGATGTTATTTTCACTAGTATGCATCTCACATGGAAGTCCTTAATGTGGTTATGATGGACAGAGTGCAGGCATTATTGAGAGTTAAGTACAAATGTACAGATACAAATGTGTCTGTTCTCTGCCTGCAAAGAGGCTTGTGACCCCACTGGAATGGAGACATATTGGATTGCAAATGAAGGGTGCCTGTTGAGATGGAAATGGACCTTAAATTTCCTGGACTTGGAAAATCTCCCTGTGTTCAGAAGGAGGAGGAGCCTGCCTGCAAAAGATATCCTCCCCACCATATACTATCTTAACTAAAGACTGAAATAACATGTAGGCGTCTAACCAACACCTCCAATTGTTTTTCTCCTGTTTGGTTTGTAATATCTTGCCTGATGCAGAAGCCCATGGCGCTTCGAAAGCTTGCAACAAGTATATTGTGCATTTTGGTTGGCCAATAAAGGTATCACTGATGAATTTTTGTTTGAATTTGCTAAATGGCCAACACAGCCACCCCTGCATGCACAGATACAAATGTGTGAAACATACACTTTATTTGACCATATGTGCATTCAAGGAGTTTGTTTCTTGTGACTGATTGCTCTGTAGATTCCTCAACTGTTTGTGGGACTGGTATTGATGAGTGGTTCATGCTAGTATTCAGTAAATAAGTTCTCTTTATGGGCATTGGCTTTATGAGCACTGGCAATCTAAATCTGGAAGCATACTTTTAAAATATGCTTCCAGTCAAAGATTGTTGTTGTGGTGGTGGTGGTTGTGTGCCTTTAAGTCATTTCCAACTTATGACAACCCTAAGACAAACCTATAATGGGGTTTTCTTGGCAAGTTTCTTCAGAGGGGGTTTGCCATTGCATCCTCTAAGGCTGAGAGAGTGTGATTTGTCCAAGTTCACCTAATGGGTTTACATGGCCAAGCCGGGATTTGAACCCTGGCCTCCAAAATCATAATCCAACACTCAAACCACTACACCACACTGGCTCCAGCCAGTCAAAAATATTGGAGTCTACTGAAGTTTTGCATAGTGAATCCTAAGTATCATTTGTGTATCATTTTTAAAAAAGGGAATATAAGACTCCGAAGAAATATATTAGAAAACCACCGCACAGTTTAATCTCCACCAAATACAAGCTGAGATATGCTTGGCATCCTTTGTTATGAGAATTTTTGGCATGCAGCACTAACGAATGTTGCATATGCCTAAGGCATGGGCTTAACCAACTGGTCCTTATCCTGATCTGACCCAAAGAACTGGGTGTGGCAATAATTCTTCCTTTTTAAAAAAATTTCTTTTCAGCATGAGTAATGTGCATACACATATTTATGATACTCATCTGCTTTTTTTATAAGTACAGTTAAAAAAAAGTATAAGATTTCTAAAGTAAATAGGGAACTCGAGACTGCCAAGTACAGGTACATTTTCATGACATATTTCCACCAAAATCATTTTAAAAGAAGTAAAAAAGATTACGAGAGAGAAAAAGAGAGGAAGAAGGAAATATTTTAAGGTGATATTCAGTAGCTAATTAAAATTGGGCCAATAGCATGCCAAATTATAAAGGTCCTTTCCATGGCAAGTAAAGGTTTAATTGGAGTATCTTGGTTTCATTTTCCTTGTTAAATTCTAGGAAATTGATCATTTATTTCATTTTTTCTATTACACCCTGGGAAATACATGATCTATTTGTCTTTCTTTCTTTTTTTGTTAGTTACAAATGCAATCCTTGAACAAAAGATCTTGCAGA